TAATCATGTTCACCAATCAGATTGTACATCCCTGCATTTTGGTGGCACCAGATCACATCCACAGAAACCACCATCTCAATCAACATCTTCTGGGGTGACGCTGGTCTTAATAACTACTCGCTCAAAGTCATGGTTGGTTGGTTGGCTGGCTGGTTGGTTGGTTGATTGGTTGGTTGGTTGGTTGGTTGGTTGGTTGGCTGGCTGGTTGGATTCTAAATCTGATTTAAATTTGATTGATTTGCATTTCTTTTATATGCTAATTCAATTGTTCATTGATTTATGCTCAGACCTATTCATTAAGTAACTAATTAATTTGTTCATCATTTTTCTAATAATTCTTTGATTCATTCATTGTTTGAAATGTTCATTCAATCACTTTCTGGTCAATCAATTCACCATTCATTCGTTTCCTTTGTTTATTCATTCATTTATCATTAGTTCATGCGTTGTTTATCAATTATTCATTCATCTTTTGTTCCTTCGTAAATTCATCGTTCATTCATTCATTAATTCCTGCATTCATTCATTCATTCATTCATTCATTCATTCATTCATTCATTCATTCATTCATTCATTCATTCATTCATTCATTTACTCACTCACTCATTCATTCATTTATTCATTTACTGGCAGCGAGAACCAACATGGTGTTGTTTCAGATACTGGTTGTTGAACATCATTGAGCAGAACAGAAGTCAGGTAAGATTGCCACTGCTGGCTCTTGTGTTGTTGTTGTTGTTATTGTTGTTATTGTTGTTGTTGCTGTTGTTGTTGTTGTTTTTGGTGTACGTTGTTGTTGTTCGTATGTGAGCACATCATACCAAGTTTCGAACTAACTTTCTCACAGTACATTCTTATAGTTTTACTATACAATAGCGATAAATTTTCAGTGCCATTAACAACAACAACAACTACAATCACAACAACAACAACTGCAACATCAACCACCACCACAACAACAACAACAACAAACTGCAACAAGCCAACAACAACATTACACCACCTCACTGCCCGTATATAGCATCATTTATTAAAAACAAAACACGCATAACCACCAACGAATTTACCAAAGCTTGAAAAAAAACTACACAGATATAATTTAATATAATTTAATTTAATAATTATATAATATTTAATATATTATAATATTTAATATAATATAATTTAATATTTCTTCTCTCTCTCTTTCTCTCTCTCTCTTCTCTCTCTCTTCTCTCTCTCTCTCTCTCTCTCTCTCTCTATCTTTCTAGATTTCATTCCCACGTATTCTCAATCGTCTATCTGAATCTCTGCCAAACTTTTTGATGACGCAATGGCATGAAAAGCTGACGTCATCACAGACGAACGAGCTGGTCGAAGTCGTCGTCGGCCACTTGGTGGATGTCGACGAGGCTGGCTTCAGTCGTTTCATGGCTGGTCTGGGTCCGACTGGCTCTTCCAATGTTGAAGATACTGAGAATAACGGTTGTAAGAATACTGATAGTAATGATAATAACAATGATAATAATAATGATAATAATGATAGTAATAATGATATTACGAATAATAATAATAATAATAATAATAATAATATTAATAATATGAAGAAGAAGAATAAGACTGAGAATAGATGTTGCAATGGTATTAATGGTAACATTCATGGTGTTGAAGATGGCGCTAACAAAGGTAACGCATTAAGCATTAAAGAAGACAGTAATGTTCCTATCAATGATACTAACTATAACAACAACGAAAAAAATGCTACTACTACTTCTACTATTACTACTACTACTACTACTACTACAACTACTACTGTCGCTATTAACGCTACTACTGCTGCTGCTACCACTACTACTACAACTAAGGATACTACTACTACTAATAATATTAATATTAATGATAATAGTAATAATAATAGTTATGGTTATTGCAATAGCAATAGAAACAATAACACAATCGGTAGTAGCCTTAAAAATAGCATCGCCGATAATAAATCCCTGATCGTCAAAAAAGTATTAAACAGGTTAAAAGTGAATTTCTGCGGCGATACTGATAACGATGGTGGTGATGATAAGAGTAATGATAATGATGCCTGTGATGATGATGATGATTGTGACGTGAGAAGAACTGTTGGAAATGCCCCGGTCCTTAAGATTCGTGGCCTGCTATGGAGGAAGTGATTTTTTTTTTCCTTTTACATGGAGAGGAGGAAGACGACGATGAAGATGATGACGATGGTGGTGGTGGTGATGATGAGGACGATGAAGATATACTGATAGTGGTGATGATGGGACAGATGATGAAGAAGAAGAAGAATGATGGGGGCGAATGTGATGACGATGAAGATAGTGATGATTATATAGGTGATGGCGATGATTTGGATGATGTCTTTGTAATTATTTTTTATTTATCTTTTTATTGGAAAATGAAATGTTAATAAAAGTGTTATGATATGTGTTTTAATGTTTATTTTTTTCATCATGATTTTAACAAAAATTCAACACGGAATAGCAATTTATCCCTTAGACTCTCTCTCTCCTCTCTTCTCTTTCCTTCTATCTATCTATATCTATCTATCTATCTATATATCTATCTATCTATCTATCTATCTATCCGTATCTATCTATCTATGTTATGTAACGTTATAGACAATGATATGATGTGATATAAATTTCATGATACACTAGGATAGCATGAGTTTCTAATATACAATACGAAACATGGCTCCTTACTGGCCAAATGAATTTAATGGACCAGGGTGACCCGAACTTGTGAGCGCCACAAATGACCTCTGTGTTTCAATTCTCGAAAGTAATTATTAGGTTGCGTTAATGTTCGTATGCCAGTACATAGGCTGGTTGGCTGGTGAGTTTGGTTGGTGGATGGTGGTTATCTCAGGTTCACGGGCTTAATTAGAACAACGCTCTCTTTCTTCTCTTTTTCTTTCTCTTTCTTTTTCTCTTTCCTTCTCTCTTTCCTTCTCTCTGTTTCTTTCAGGTTTTATCATCATGTATAAGTGACGGTGGAGAGAGAATTGTAGCAAAATGTATTTTAAAGGGGAATTGATCAAGAAATAATGGTACAAAATGGAAAGGTGCACAAAAAAATCAAATAGTGAAACCGCTAATAAGTTTTGGTTGATTGTGATTGTCTCGGTGACGAAATTTGTCAGGATTACGTCAATCAATCAATCAATGAATTAGGTTTATAAAGCGCTATTTCTGCAATGTTCAACAACGCTCTTCAGTGAATTTTGCAGACAGATGGGTCTTGAGATCCGTTCTGAACTTCGTAAGTGATAGAAAGAAGTAGTCAGAGAAAGAGGTAGAGAGATCCAGAGAAAAGTGCCAGAAAAAGCGAATGCAGATTTAGCCAAAGGGTGTTTAACACGAGTTAATAACAAGTGAGAACAAGAAGACGATCGTAAACCGGGGCGTTTAGGTTCAATTAATATATCTGATAAGTAGTTAGGAAATAATTTTAATTGAGACTTACACATAAATGTGCAAATTTTTAAAATTACGTCATATTCCGGGGTCAGATTTTCCGAATAAATAGTAAGCAAAAATGAAAAATTCAAATAAAGAACGATATAGAGATCTCCTATAAAAGAAGAAAAACCAATAGATTCGACTATTGAGTTATTTATTTTTGTGCTAATTACACGCGAAATTAGTTTATTTATCTATTTAATTACTCTTCTACTACTTGGTACTTTTTGAGGTTTGCCTAGGATTGATTGTTCTAAACTCGATCTACTCTGGCCTTCCTGGATTCTGCCTGATTCCTTCATGTAAAGCTCTTATTTAATTGGTTCAATACAATTATTTCTATCCAAATGTTTGATGAATCGATTTAAAACGTGGAGTCAATTAGACGAATTTCAAATTTATTTACAATTTTACGTAAATTCGATTGAAAAAATAGATGAAAATTTGGAAAATAAACTAATTGATTCAAACTAAATATAATAATGAATACATTTTAATAAAATAATTAACAAAAAACAATATATATATATATATATATATATATATATATATAAGAATTAACCTTATAATAATGTAAATAATGTAAATAAGGGTTGAAAGAAGAGTAGGGGGTTGAAAGAGGAGGGGTTAGGGGGTACGAGAATCCAGCCCCACACCAGACCCCATGAAGTAAGAAAATTTTGACGATTCTGTTAAATGGCAACCACAGTTATAACCGCAGTAACAATAAGGATGACGACTGAGTACAATGTACATTGCAACAAACACGCTCACAACCATAATGAATGACAACAACTGCAACAACAACTGCAACTACAACTACAACAACAACTACAACAACAACTGTAACGACAACTGCAAAAACAACTGTAACAACAACTGCAACAACAACTGCAACAACAACTGTAACAACAACTGCAACGACAACAAATACAACAACGACGAAGACGTTATCACAGAAAAAGGTGAGATCCGTAAAATGGAATAATAATATCATCATAATAATAATAATAATTATTATTATTGTTGTTGTCTAGTTGGGGGTATTATTTATAATAATTAAATAGATAACAAGAAATTTGAATACTAAATTTGTAGTTTCACATTACGTGTGTGTGTGTATGTGTGTGTACGTGGATGTACGTTTGTGTGTGTGTATGTGTGTGTGTGGATGTGTTTGTTTGTTTGTCTAGGTGCCCGTTTGTATGTTCATTTGTTTTTATGTCGTTCAAAAAGCTCTTATGTTCACAGAAAGTTCACACGTTTATATTTTGTTTGTTAGCTCGCTCCACAGATGAGAAATATTTGTTTGTATGGCCAGTTTTTTTTTAAGTGAAGGAGTGCGAAGGAGTTTCACTTTTTAATGTCACATTTTCGTTTGACGATTCATACATCATGGCAGGAATGTTAATGTGTCGAAATTGTTTCCAAATTTTTGAGGCAAAGTATTATTTGTGTATTTGCACTGGATCGTACATATTGGAGTTACTGTGTGATTTCTGGTATGATAACACAAATATGTTCACACACATACACACGCACACGAACACACACACACAAACACACACAGAAAACGTGTGTTTCATCTTATATATTTCGATTGTATAAGAATTATATGTATGTATACACGTAGGTAGGTATGTATGTATGTATGTATGTATGTGTGAATGTATGTATGTGTGTATGTATGTATGTATGTATGTATGTTGGTATGTATGTATGTATTATGTAAATTTGAGTTTGAATGTATGCGTTTTATCTGTGAAACATTGAAGAGCCATATTTATTGTTTGGGATTATGGGTGACTATTTCTTATAAAAATTTTTTGCGTGTGTATGTATGTGTGTGTATCCGTATCTGTGTGTGCGTGTGCGTGCGTATATGTGTGCGTGTGTGTGTATGCGTGCGTGTGACAACGAATGATACGAATGCAAATCCGTGACATCCATTAAGCTGATACAGATGTCATAAGATTAAATGTAGCCGCTAGATCTTGCGCCGGCGATGATGATGATGATGATAATAATAATAATAATAACACTTGTCAAAATAATAAAATAAAAGTCAGTCAGTCAGTCAGTCAGTCAGTCAGTCAGTCAGTCAGTCAGTCAGTCAGTCAGTCAGTCAGTCAGTCAGTCAGTCAGTCAGTCAGTCAGTCAG